AACAAGTGTGTAACACCGGTCAAAGTTTGACACTTCTCTGGCCATTATCTCCGTAACCGTTCAACTTTGGACATAGGTGTTTTGGGTTATATCGGCATACTTTAACATAAGGAACACCCTCCCGAAGTTTGGTCCATTCCTCCTGGGACAACTTGTATATTAGATGACGTCACACAGTGTAGCTTTCTTATTGGTTTTAGCCATGAGGAGGGGGAAATTCAACTGTTACGCGTAGCTCGACTAAGCAGCCTTTGTATACATATAACGCAACGAGGCATATTGCCTAACAACCATTACAAGAGGTCGTTGTAGGTACTGTACCAAATAATAGAGATGCATATCCACTGTGAGCTTCAGTTAAAAAATTTGTCCTTCGTGCTTGAAGATGGTATGGTGAATAGACACACCTTTATTTTCGTCGCATTTCATCAAAAAAACACTCGGAAAACCGATGCAAACAGTGCATATGTTGCATATCTCAATGAGGTCAAATCTTACTCTGTTTGCCATTTTGCTTCACTATTCACAACCGCGCATACGTCTCATTCTACATGACGTGGACACTGTTTAGTTGAGAAACAGCCGTTCAATAAACAGACAACAAAATAAACAATTCATATGAATTTAATTCAAGGTACACAAGAAAAAGATCCCCTGTTACCCCAATAGGCCTACCACAACTAACTCCATGGTGCATAGAACACCTAGAGAAATTGATGGACGTGTAGTTGCGCCTAATATGATCCTCCTAAATGCTCTCTTCACATATCGGACGAAATTTGTGAATCTTACTAGGTCTATTTCAGAAATTTACACTGTATCAAAATGTCTAGGGGGTGGCATTGGAGAAGCTCTCTGTCGGAACGCTATGGGCTTTAGTTTCATGAGACACTTCAGTCGTTATATTTTCTATTGATCATTGCAGTCGGTGTGGGCACGCATTTGTCGCCACGTATAACTGCGTACCTTTAGCCATTCGTTTGGGACCACCTATATCACGAAGTAATAAAAATCATGAAACATAGCACATAATATTTGGAAACTTTATTTATTGAATAAAATATGCCTAGTATGTTTCAGACCTATATGGCAATCATCAGATTCTTATGTGTTTAAGACGAAAAACTAATGCTAGAATTTATTGCATACCAAATAATTTACACTTATGTATGTAATGGTTAGAATTGTCCGATTTAAAAGGAACTTTAACTGATTCACCAGTTTTTCGTATAGTTTCCCAGCTTCAAATTCAATGAAAATCCGACCAGCGGTGCACATGCTCTTTCATGTGTATAGATGGACGGACTGGGCGAACTTAACATTGGCCTCGTAGGGATGCGAATATGCCCAATAATTAGACTTCTGAGAACACAATGCTGCTTATGTGTGTTTGTGTGTCCCTTTCAATTACTGAATCACCGAACAATTTAGCACAGGTTTTGTATCTGGGAGGTTCTCGATTCGAATCTCGTCCATGAGATCGGCTATCCTACTGAGGTATTTCATGGTTTCCCTCAGTTTCTCTAAGCAGATTCTGATATCGTACCTCGGTTCGTCCATAACTGCCTCTTCTCAGTATACAGTGTAGGGCAATAACGTTTACTACCTGAATATGGTACAGCGCCATTTACAAAATCCAGCGTGACCTTGATATCTGTGAAGCGCCTCCGTGTACAAAAACTTCGTCTCATTCATCTTACGTGCTCTTCGATAGAATGGACTTTTATTGGGAAAGTTTTTGATAACATCAAAACAAGTAATATTTTTCAGGTGGCAGTTTATTGACTCCTCTGTACAGCTCATATACTGGAAGCGTCGTAGAATAAAACTTCTCAACTGTTTTACATATTCTCACGAAATGTGCCATGAACATTGTACTATTCAAAGCCACCCCAACGTCGAACTTTTTAATTCCCAACAACAGAAAATTACAACACACAGCGAATCTGTTAAGTAGAGCAGATAGCAAACCTGCCTCCCTTCTTCCCGGGTGCTTACAAAACACTAGGACCACTAGTAGTTCAGTTCTGCGGAGTTCACGAATTCACGAACCTGATCGAAAATAGTCATTGGTAAACAGTCTATAGAGAAATCGATTATATGACAATCGATATACAAATTGTTCATAAACGAGCTATCGTAATATGTGAATGATGATGTAACCTTGCCCATTTTCGTGATAAGTTCCAATTTGGCATTTCCAAAAATTCAATTGTCTGTGTCGTTTGTCTCTTTTATGATTAGCAAACTAAACTCGTAAAATACACATATAGTGATTTATTGAGTTGAATTGTGTGGTAATAAATGTAACATTAAGTTTTACCTCATTAAAATTACACATGATAGGAAATGGCAAGTGATAGTTTAGATCCAGTTTCAACATCGTGTGAACATTTGTTTGATGTTCTTGGTACATTACACGAGAAAAGCAACCAAGAAAAATTTATACTAGATCATATCAAGAAGTATGCCAGCAGGGATATTCAAATTGACGACTTCAGAAGCAGTAAGTAAAGCAGAAGTTTAGACCTATGGCGGGGAACCCAGTTTTTTTTCTTACTTCAGAAGCAGTAACTAAAGCAGACGTTCAGACCTATGGGGGGAACCCTTTTTGGGGGGGGGGGTTGACAATGATATGCATTAGTCTAATAGTCCAGTCCAGTGAATTGCTGCTGGCCGTCGCCATCACATTTTCAGACTTTTACGTGTTTTGAAATGGGGCCTCCCCTTCGATGAGAGAAGGGGTCTGGCTTCTACTGGGGAGTAACTGTGCAGCCTCTCACTCTCGCCCACTTTCTCAGCAACTCACTCTTAGCTGACTCCTGAGAGAGTCTACTAGTGAAAGTGCTCAGTACGCTAATGGGTAACCGGGGTTTGCATTGATTTCCTGTAAATTCAGGTGATATTAAAGAAACAATATACTTAGTGTGACAAATGTTCTCATTTTTATTAACACAAACAGGTGAATCATGTACATGTAAATAATACCCAGTTCCTTCCACATTTAGGGAAAATCCATGTTGCTATGATGTGAGACAGTGAGTGATGATAGAGTGTAGGGATGAATTAAAGGGATGGGAGATGAATATGGGGAGAAGAGTGAAAGAGTTAGAAGGATAGAGGAGTGGAGAACCGGGAGTGAGGGAACTGTTTTAACATGGAGAGGGAAGATGAAAGGAAGAAAGGAATGATGATAGGATAGACAGATGAAAGGGGTTGGAAAGCAATAAGAAAAAAGGAAGGGAAAGAAGTGAAGATACAAAAGGATTAAAGGAATGAAAGAAGGGAAGAAATTCTTTTGCTGGTCATTTATGTTGGGTTATGCATTTTAATAATATACTTACCTACCTACCTACCACTCATCACTACAGCCCTGGGTGAGCCTTGGCCTCGTCTACAACCAGTCTCCACTGCTCTCTGTTCCTCATCTTCTCTTTCCATCCTTTCACTTTCATCTACTTCAGGTCACTCTCAACAATATCTAGCCATCTCATCCTAGGTCTTCCTTTACTTCTTTTGGCCTATATCCTTCATTTTGACATTCTCTTTGGCATTGCATTATCTTCCATTCTTTTGACTTGCCCCAACCATCTTATTCTCTGTGACTTGATAAATCTTGCTATATATTCTCCTTTCGTTAATGTGTTTATCTCTTCATTGTATCTTATCCTCCATATATTATTTTCCTTCACAGGTCCATATATTTTGTGTATTATTTTTCTCTTGAACATTCTCAGTGAATTCTCTTCTGTTACTGTTAAGGTTCATGCTTCTGCCCGGTATGTAGTAACAGGTCTTGTGTACTTGTACCTTAGCTGCTCTTGGTATTATTTTACTTTCAAGTGTACTAATATTTACAAAGTAGGCCCTGTTTCCAGCTTGTATCCTTTCCTTATCACAGTTATCATTTCTATTGCCATTATTGATCATATTTCCTAATAATTGAAAACTACTCACTCCTGTAAATAATTTCCCTTCTACTTTTAAATCTTTGGTTTACTTCTACTTTCTAATATTGACATAATCATGTATTTTGTTTCTCTTTCATTTACTTATAATCCTTTCTTCTCTGCTGATTAATAATAATATAATACTAGTAAATTCTTAGTGTTGTCATGAAAATTGTGAGCACCATGGCAACTGATGCCCAGAATTTATGTAGGCCTGGGTATAATCCTAGTATAAAATCCAATATCCATGCAAGTTGTATTTCTCTTGATGGCATGCAAATTTTACTATTTGTTAAGTTTATACTGGATATTATAATAAAGTACTGAATTGCACACAACGTACATTAGTTTTCTTATGTGTTCTTATGTGTAATCAGTGAATAGTTTTACATTTCTGGTCTGTGATTTCATACCTTTCACAAGCTAAATCACATAGCAGTTTTCATTTGGGACACAGTACCCCTTTGATTGACATGTGGTTGAAGGTATTTCAGACAAATGGCAGGAAGGTCACTGCCATGGGTTCCTTTCCAGATGGTCTGATTTGCTGCCAGGTTGAGTTGAGATCATGATGGATCTCTTTCATGCTGTAACTGTTTTCATAGAAGGTCCATTTTAATATGTCTAGTTTAGCTTGGAGGCTGTCCTAGGCACAGATGGTTTTGGCCCTGTTTTGTAAGATGGAATCACAGATTGCTTGTTTGCTGGATGTTGAGTAAACCTTGCATTCATGTAGAGGTTAGTATAGTTGGCTGCTCTGGTCTTATTTAAAATTTATGTCAACGAAATGGAGGTGGCCCTCTGAGTGTCCATGGTGAACTGAAAGTTGTGGAATATGCTGTTGAAGTATTCCAGGAAATCCATCAGTTTTTCTGAACCATATGACTATATTATAAATGTGTCATCAGCCTAACAGAACCAGCGGTGGGGCTTCTAGACCCCTCCTTGACATACACAATGAAGAAACTGGTTGTCAGAGATGGCAGTGATGAACTCGTGGTAACACTATCCATTTGTTTATATGAGGGGTGGTCAGAAAGCAAGTTTACAAGGTGTACAATCTCTCAACCAAAGGACGTACAGTTATTGTTTGTATGTGAAAGGAATTTATAAATCCTTGTTAGTAACACTGTGTGTCAGTTCACCCACCCTTTACCATTTGTTACATGTACAACTCAGTTGAACATGGCTATTCAACTGGAACCGTGATCCAAGTACAAAGTCCATAGTGCAATTTGGGTTTTGAATACGAGAAATATGTGAGTGGCAGAAATTCATTGCCAGCTCATGGAAGTTCATGGTGAAGATGTTATGAATCAGCAGAATATCGCAAAATGATGTATGGAAGTTCTGCAGGTAGGAGTCAACACAGAAGACAATGAAAGAAGCAGCAGAGCCACAACAGCAAGAACTTCTGAGACCATTGCAACCACAGAAAATGTAATCTATATCAACAGAAGGATTACAGTCAGTGAATGAACTGCAACATAGCTTGAACCTGTTGCATGAGCCACTCATCAGTATCATTCAGAATGGAAGGTTAAACAAAGTGTACACTGGGTGCCTTGAGCACTAACAGAGGAACACAAGAAATAACTAATGGCTTGTGCATTGTAATTCTGCAGCAATATTTTGTTGGTGGTTAGGAACTTGTTGAGCACATTGTCACAGGAGATGATACATGGATTCATCACCATAGCCTGGAGACAAAACTTGCCAGCATGTAATGAAAACACCGCTGTTCTCTACAGTTAAATGAGTTAAAGATTTTAAAGGCCACTGACAGAGTGATGGCTACAGTGTTTTGAGATCACAAAGGCATTCTGCTCATAGGCCTGATACAACAAGGCACAGCAGTCAGTGTCATGACTTAATGTGCAACACTGACATATTTACATACTTCCTTTAAATGAAAGTGTTGGAGAATTCACCAGAGGGATATTTTAGTTCTGCATGATAAGTGCACAATTGCAGTGTGCTATGGCAACCTAACAACTTTTGCAGCATATGCAATGGTAGATACTGGAGCATTTTGGAGGCTTCAACAACATGAAAACATCTTCATTGGTTGCATCCTGTTGTGTGTTACAGATATGAAATGAAATGAAATATACGTAGGGCAGTCAAAAAGTTCCCGGAATTTCCCTGCAGACGGATAACGAGCGATAAGATAGCGCACACACTGTTGTGGTGGGGAGCTAAGCATGTTACAGACACAACAGGTCTGGACAGGTTCCAGTATGCAGTGTTGTTACTGTTCCGTTTGAATTAGACATGAGTGTTGGTCATTCGGCGCAGTGTCGCAGTTCGTACAACGTGCGAACATCAAGTTCATGTGCAAATTGAGAAAATCTGCTTCAGAAACGCTATCAGCCCTGCGGGAAGTTTATGATGATACTGCACTAAAGATGGGGTCGACTCAACCTCTAACAGAAATGAGTAACAGGAATATTATTGAAATGTTCTTGGGGGTAAAGGATGGCTGGCGCGTAAGGCTGACAACCTCACCACCATCTATGAGCCAGTTCTCTAGAAAATGTGTGACCCTCAACATCTCACAACCCTATGGGACTCCACGGGCCATTACAGGGACATCTTTACTTACTTACTGCACTAAAGAAATCCACAGTTTATGACAGGTTTTCCGAGTTTAAGAATGGTCAGGAGATGTTAGAGAATGACCAGTGCAGTGAGAGACCTTCGACATCCAGAACTGAAGAAATGATTGGAAGAGTGCGACAACTGATTTGATGTGATCGAAGAATGACCACCGTGGAGTTGGAGCAAGAAGTTGGTATCTCTCACAGATCTATTCATGCCATTTTGTCCGATAATTTGAAGATGAGACATGTCAGTGCGAAGTTTGTTCCGAGGCAGCTGACCACGGATCAGTTGGAATGTAGCATGATGGTCACTAGCAGTCTGTTTGACAAAAGTATGCAGGACCCGACGTTTCTCAAAAAGATCATCACTGGTGATGAATCAGTGGTGTTCGCCTACGACCCAGAGACGAAGATGCAGTCATTGGAGTGGCACACAGCATCGTCTCCCCTGATGCTCATTGCATTATTTGACATTGACAGTTTTGTGCACCATGAGTTCATACCGCCTGGACAGACTGTTACTGGACATTTCTACATGCAAGTTTTGCAGAGGTGGCACAATGCGATTCAGAGGAAGCGGCACGACAAGTGGCAGGGACACTGGTTTCTGAATCACAATAATGCACTGAGCCACACATCATTTGTGCAGCAATTCCGCGCCGAGAAAAACATTCCTGTCATCACTCAACCACCGTACTCTCCAGATCTCACTTTGAGTGACTTTTGGCTCTTCCCTGCTCCGAAAATGGGCCTCAAGGAGACACATTTCACAACCAAGGAGGACATCACATCGAATGCGACAGCTGAGCCCCAGAAGATTCCAAAAGAAGCCTTCCACCGCAGCTTCCAACAATGGCAGGATCGATGGAGCAAGTGTGTGCGCGCGCAAGGGTCCTACTTTGAAGATGATTAGGTAAGCCTTGCTGTATGTCCTACCATTAGAGTGCTATACCACCATTCCAGAACTTTTTGACTGCCCCTCATGTGTGTGTGTGTGTGTGTGTATAGGAATTATGTCAACACAACAGATGTTGTGTTTTCATCTTATTTATGTATTTGCTACTTTATTATAACATCAACTTGAGGCAAGAGTTTTATGTCAGTACATAACATGACATGTTGCACCAATAAGGATCCAAATCGGTATTTCAATGACTATATGTACAACTGCCTGATGATGGTCTTATGTGACCAAAACACGTAGCACTATAAAGATCAAAAATAAAACTGAATATTTGTTGTGTTGACGGTGACATAATTCATATATATATATATATATAACATGAAAACAGCAAAGAAATAATGGTTCATCAATAAAGACATGGTGGTCTACCAGCAGGGAATAGAAAAGCTCTTCCCATGATTACCAGTTAATGTCTCCATTTTTGCAGAGACTGTGTTCAAAAGTAGTGGGATGACCGTAGAATTACCTTTCATTTTTCATGTCAAAAATTGTAATAAAAAGCTTTGAACTGTTTCCCTTATAGACTTACTTTCATACTGGCACATAGAACTGGCCCACTGAAACAGAAATATTAGGATGTTAGGACAAGATGAAAGAGCCTCACATCGTCTTCATTGAATTTCTGACTTAGCAACTGTAGAGTGTCTCCATGAAGATGTCAGTAAGCCCAAAAGGCCACAGTCATAACAGTACTGTGCAAACCTCAGAACTGTTGCTTTTTGTTTTTCTTTATATTTACTGTTACATTTGCAGATTTGGAATGGTTCAATGTGTCCAGACCTCTGTCTTTAAATAATGACTTACGGGGGAAAATTGTTGTGTTGGATTTTTTCACATACTGCTGTATTAATTGTATGCATATCCTGCCTCAACTTAAACAACTAGAAGAACAATATTCTGTACAGGATGGTCTTGTAGTGGTAAGTGAAAATATAATAATATATTTATATTGAAATAATAGAACATAGTTTTACACACAGTTGTCGTGGCTTTATAATAATGTTTTCAGCAATAAATTATATGTTTGCATAATGTTTCCCCCTCTTTTGTATATGCATGCATATGAGTGTATGTGCCCGTGAGCACAAGTGAATGAGTAGCAGAAGTATTTCTTTCACTGTTTCCATTTTAGTTTCTTCAATAATGTTATGATTTTGCCCTACATTCTGGTGATGGGACATCAACATATACTTAGTTTTCTCTGTGTTTTTCTTTATGGTATTTATGTGAACTCTCAGTAGATATATATCATCAGCACAGACCAGCAGCTGAAGTGTTCAGTTTAATTTTAGCCCTACCTGGTTTTCTTGGACCTTCCAAATGGCATATTCTAAAGTAATTGCAATAAAAGTTTCTCCTTGTTTTTGGCCATTTTGAATACAAAAAGTATCAGACAAATATTCATCTCTGTGGACTTTACCGTAGATTTCATTTGAACGCAGTTTTTCAGTTGGCTCTTTAACTACAAAATATCTGAACAAGTTAAAACTTTTACATACAGTATGATCTTATGAAGGACAAAGAATGGGTGAGAAAACTGTTAGGTTCTATGTTAAAAGTTCTGCATATTATAAATGAAATGTTGAAACTTTCTTATACCTCAGAAATGCACATATACAAGATAGGTAATATATCCTTTGAAAACGTGGCGAAGATCAGATGGTTGGGAACAACAGTAACAAATGAAAATTTGATTATTGAGGAATTTAAGAGCAGATTAAGTTTCGGTAATGCATGTTACCGTTCAGTTCAGACTCTCATGTCTTCTTATCTACTGTCTCAGAATGTAGAAATTAAAATATACAGAACTTATTATAATCTTTCCTGTAGTTTTGTATGGGTGTGAAACTTGGTCTCTGACAATAAGGGAAGAAAACTGACTGTATATAGGGTCGTGCCATAGCTCAAGCAGTTAGTCACTGGCTTCCCACTGTGGCGGCCCAGGTTCAGTCCCAGGTCTGGTCAAGTGTGATTTGTGGTGGACCAAGTGGCGCTGGGGCGGGTTTTCTCCGAGTACTTTGTTTCCCCTGCCAATCTTCATTCCACCAAATTCATCATTATAATCACCTGGGGCAGGCTACAATAGGCCTATCAGTGGCCGCCATGCTGAGTGGACCCAGTTGGACTCCACCCCCCACTAAGCGAATTTAAAAAAAAAAAAATTTTGACTGTACATAATTAAAAATGGGGTGGGGAGAAGAATATTTGGACTGAAGAGGGATGAAATAGTAAAACGGAGAAAACTGCATAATGAGGAGCTTCATAACTTGTACTCTTCATAAAGTGTAATTAGAATGATCAAGTCAAGGAAGATGAGATGGGTAGGACATACGATATGCATGGGTGCAAGGCTGAATGCATATAGGATTTTTGTGAGAAAGGCAGAATGAAATAAGCCTGTAGAAAGACTTAGACATAGGTAAGAGGATAATATTAAAATGGGTCTTAGAGAAATATGATGGAATGGTATGGACTCGAATGATCTGGCTGAGGACAGGGACCAGTGGAGGGCTCTCTTGAATATGATAATGAACCTTTGGGTTCCATAACATGTTGGGAAATTTTGAGTATCTGAGCAACTGGTGGCTTCACAAGAAGGACTGAGTTCCATGAAGTTTGCTGGGAGTTGGTATAGTGACAGGCTATGAGTTGAAGAGCCTGGGTTCAATTCCCAGCAGTGCATGATTTTTCTCTGCTCTGCAGCATCCAGACCAGCTCGGGCCCACCCAACCTCCTATCCCATGAGCACCAGGGGCTCTTTCCCTGGGTGTAAAATGGCATGGGTCTGAAGCTCACCACTCACCTCCATCTAGCGCCAAAGTCAAGAAAATTGGAGCTGTACTTCTACTACTGCATATGTTTTCTTGGCATAATGTGTAACTAATTAAGCACAGGTACAACTTTATCTTCTTCTGCCTTTTGTTACTTAGTTAATAGGCAACTGGATGCAGAATCACTTCAGAGTTTTACTATTCAGGCTGTAGCTATGAGTATTGGATTCACTATTTTCAGCCACAGCATATTACCATATAATATGATAATACTTTGCACTGAAAACTCTGCATTATTAATTAAAATAATGTGTTTATGTAAGATTCTTTTTTATGTTGTCCTCTCAGCGCCCTTTCAATATTTCAAGCAGCAAGGTGTCCCTACTGAAATTCTATAGGCATTTCTCATTTTTCCATTGCCTCAATTAGACTGTCTGGAAACAAAGAAAGAAAGAAAAAAAAGCTTTATAAGATATGTAAACAGTGTGTATTTTGTATTTTAGCTAACTGCATGCAGAAAAATGCTTACTGAGAAACTTACAGTCATCACCTTTTATGGATCCCAGACATTTGTTATTATATTACCAAGACCCCGCCATTGGATTCTGTCCTAGGCCAGTTTAATCTAGTCCAGAACTTCACATGCTATTTGTTTAGGATATGTTTTTATTATCCATCTATGTCTTGGTCTGACTTCCCCCCCTTTTCCTAATATATTGTTAATCTCTTTTCAGTTTCCATTATAGTCTCTGATTTTTGGGGATTGTGCCTAAATCAGTAGAAAATTTGTGGTAGGTCTTATAGAAATTTTCTGTCTTGTGACTTTAGGTTGGAGTGCACAGTGCCAAGTTTGACAATGAGAAGGACTCTGCAAACATATTGGCAGCAGTTCAGCGTTACAACATCACTCACCCTGTAGTGAATGATTCTGATGGTACTATGTGGCAAAACCTTGGAATCTCATGCTGGCCCACACTAGTCATCATAGGTAATTCATTGTCCTGCTTATTTTTTACAGCAGTTAACCCTCTCAGTATGAACAAAGTTCACATTTTTGTCCTGCACAACATTTGTTTTATATCTGTAACTGATGTCTTTTTTTCTCATGATACAACCCTCTGCAGGCCTTGGCTTCCTCCATGATTCTTCTCCATAGGCTTTGGAGGTTTCTTAACAGTAAATGTTTCCAGGGTGGGGTTGTTAGCCTCATGCCCAACCCCCAACCTGGAGGACTGGGAACTACATTTCATCTGGCCCCTTCACTTTGAACCGCCTGGCATTGGTGGCCCTACCAGGAATTTATGCTCCCACCAGCGTAGCTCTTCAGAGGATTGTGGTGTGCAGACCTATTCACCACAATAAGGCGGTAGTCCCATGGAGGTTGTCATAGACCTAAGTCGCCATAAATATGCTGTCTCAGTCACCACAGGTGATTTAACAGAGACTGGTTCCAAATACACCTTTAGCTTCAATTTAAATGTGTGAACAGATGGATTCTATTAAGTGGCCGGTAGATTTACATAGTATATTTGCTCATGCAGTTTTGAGGTTCTCACCTAGGTAGTTACGAAGAGTTCTGTTATCCGCGATATAAATGCCTTGTAGTCTATTGTAAGTCTCCTGACATTTTAGAGGAACATCGGTTGAGTTTGACTACATGGCATTATATTCCAGAAGATAGAACTCTTTATTTCTGCTCTTCTGTTTTTATTGTCTATTCATAAGTAGCAAAGATTACTGACAAGTGATCTTATTTCTGCTGTGGTGCAGTAGAGACAACTGTTCTGTCAGATTACTATAATCAGAATAATTACTAACCTGCAGTAGTTCCATATCCATCATATGTTTATATAACATATTTTCATGCAATAAACTTAAATTTTTGCCTCACTTTCCTGTCAGACTTGGAAAAATCACATATTAACATGTAAATGTTGGAGTGTTCTTGGTATATTATTTTCTACCCCTCATGCCAAACAGTCTCTCTTACCCCTCTTTCATCCTACTTTGCATACGTTATAAATGTAGGAAATTGAGGCTTACAGCATTGCCACATCTACATGCATGTGCATGTGGGTCAGTGTTTATTCCTGTGCTTTAATAGCCCTGTGTGTTTCTGCACTGATGTTTGTTGAACCAATTTTTGTGAAACTCTGTATGAGTTCATGCTCAAGAAGACCTTAATAATTTTTAATTCCTTGTCAGCTGTAATAGGGGGCACCTAGTAGCATAGTTAGTTGAGGCACTATGCTGCAAGCTAAAAAGATCATGGGTTAAAATCCCAATGAGGTGGATTTTTTACAATTTACCTAATCCTTCCGCACTGTGGTCTTGGGGTCAACTCGGCCTCTAACAGAAGTGGGTACCAGGAATCTTCCTGGGAGGTAAAGGACAGCCAGCACATGAGGCTCACAACCTTACCGCCATATGTGAGCTGATTGTCTAGAGAAAATGTGGGAACCTCAAACATCATCTCACAACCCTGTGGTCCTACATTGCTTGTTACAGGGATAGCTGTATCAGCTGTAATATCAATATGGCTGTTATATAGCTGTCTTGAAGTGGAACTCGCTGAGGCAACTGAATTAAGCCCCATGGATCAACCTCCTACACATCTGCCCTTGAAGTGTTATGCTTCCCCTCCAGGATACTTCCTTATATACCCTACAGTCTAACCATTCCTTTCACATTAGTGTTGACAGTGAGATACATGTGACAGCTTGCTCTTGACAGGCCTAGCTTATATAGGACATGGGGGCTGGAAGGGAATATGACAGTAGGCAGGGAAGGAGAAGCTTTGAGCACCACCATGCCCACTGCTCTTGGAACTACTTTCCATTGATAAGTTATTCGCCAGAAATTTGATCTCTGTAGTTTCAGTTAATGACTTACTGCTTTAATCACACACACAATACACGTCATTGTATTGTTAGGCTTCTGCCTTTTACTTACTTACATTATAGTTACAATGTAACACGTGCAGTAGCAAACTTTGTTAGAGCAAACTGGACTCCAGTAGAACGAATCACTACATAGTGGGCGGAAGAAGAAATGTCAGTGTCTTTTAAACATACAGAAAAACATGGAGGCTGCACATACAGCCAACCTAAACTATCAGAAGGTGAACACTGTGCTACCAACTGAACAAATTAACACTTCCCATAACACTTTCCCTTGTTAATTTGACAGTGAACATGGAATTAACATAATTCATAAAATGAAAGTCTCATTAATTACAACACTTGTAATGTTCTAACACATTAAACCCATTCTTTCACAAAACAATTTTAACTGTTCTTTAGACAAGGGTTTTGTCATAACATCAGCTACTTGATGTTGAGTAGGAACATATTTTACATTAATTTTCCTTTCTTCAACTTTTTCACGAATAAAGAAGTGTCTTCTCTCTATGTGTTTTGTGCGACCATGGAGTATTGGATCTTGGGCCAGTCTTATTGCTGCATCGTTGTCGACCTGCAGAATAGGAACCTCATTTACATTGGTGATTTCCTTGAAGAGTCTGCTTAACCAGAGAACCTCTCTAGTAGCTTCAGATGCTGCAACAAGCTCAGCTTCAGTACTTGATATGGCCACACTACATTGCCTACGACTTTTCCAAGAAATCGTTCCTCCAGCAAAGAGTACAACTGCTCCTGAGGTGGAACGAGCAGTTTTCTCACATCCACCGAGATCTGCGTCGCTGTAACATTCTAAACTGTTTGAGTTTACATTGGAATTATAAACTATACCATAAGACAAGGTGCCTTTAATATAACGTAGTACCCTTTTCAGCTTGATAACATCTTCATTTGATGGATTTTCAAGACATCTGGAAAGAACGCCTATGCTGTAAGCCAGGTCTGGCCTGCTACCAATCATTAAATACATAAGTGCTCCAACCGCCTGCCTATATGGGAAGTTTACTGACATCTTCTGCTCCTCACTGTTCTGCGTCTGATGAACTTTCCTTAGTGAGGAACCTTTCTCCATAGGTGTAGATACAGGTGCACAGTTTTCAAAGTTGAAACGTTTCAAAAGTTTCCTTGCATAAGCTTCCTGAGAAATTTTTATTTGTCCACTAGTTTGGGTGTTAATTTCCAGACCCAAGTAATGGTGTGCTACACTAACAGTGATACTGAATTCTTTTCTCAATGCTTGAAGAAAGTTCTTCAGTTCTTCTT